AGAAAGAAAGAAAGAAAGAAAGAAAGAAAGAAAGAAAGAGAGACAGACTTGCAGATTGGGGTTGGGGTTGGAGGCTGGGGAGGGTCAGGGTGCAGTTTAGACAATTAGGGGGCAGGGTCAGGAGTCAGTTTTAGCAAGAGAGCTGCCTGGGGCAATCTCTTCCACTCCTATTGCCCGAGGCCCTGAATAATGAAATCCAGTGAACTGGAAAATTCAAGAAAATTCCACCCAGCTGTCCCTCCCATTTTCCTAAAAAGACCTAATGCAGTGGTTCTCAAGCTCCTCATATTGAAATAAAGTGAAAATAAGATTATTTTCATCGCTACTTTATAACTGTAATTTTGCTACTGTTACTAATCATAATATAAATATCTGACAAGTAGGATAACCTTGTGGAAGATCAGGCAAACCCCTGTGACCCCCCAGGTGGAGAACCGCTGGCCTGGTAAAAGGCGACCGAAAGATGGGTGGTTTGAGACGGTACAGGGCCGCTGGTGGGGAGTGAGGCAGACACTGGCTTCTCAGCAGGGTAAGATGAGGGAAGGGTGGAACTCACTTAGGTTGTGATTGTCCTTCTTCTGCCGTTCCTTGGCCAGGGCCCGGCTCTCAGCATCTGGAGGCCAGAGAAAGAGAGAGGTGGTGGGAAGAAGAAGAGAGAAAAAAGGGCTCCGGAGCCCCAAGGGTATAGGGGAGAGGATGGCAGTACCTGTTAGCTCTCGCTTCTGGGTCAGGTCAGCAGGGCAAGAGCTGCTGGTGACACCTACCAGGGAGGCTGTGACCTGGGGGTCACCGCTGTACACATTCAAGTGGCTGCTGGACAGGGGTAGCTGTGGAGGAAGGAGTGGAGGGGGGCTTGGTGAGTCCTCACCAGGACCCATGGTGCCAGGAGCAGCTGTTCCTGAAGTGCTAAAATTACCCCTGAGCCCCTTCTCCAGGATTCGGTGTGCTGAGGAACGTGTGGCCCAGAGCAGCCCTGCCCTCAGGAGCCCCTGGCCAGGGCGGAGGCTGGAGAGGAACCTAACCAATGCAGGGATTAAGCCGCAGGGAGGGGCTCGATTCGTTTGGGAGTTTGAGTTCTTCTGAGAGTATGGAATTCAACAGAGCTGCAGCACAGAAGGCATTGTAGCAGGGTTGGAAAAGATCTACCACAGAGCCAGGCAGAGCCAGCCACAGGCCCAGAGATTCACTGTGTAAACAGGAGCCAGAGAGGGATAATTAACGGGAGAACCTGGTTTCCTGGCCGCGATGTCTGTGAGCAACAGGTCTGAGCTTGGCTCCCCCTCCTGCTTGCCCTGGCAATGCCACCAGACTGACTCTGCCTCCCCTAGGACTTTCTCTCGGTGGCATAGCAATACTCAAGCCAAAGGACCAACCAGAGCAAAGGGGTGAGCCCCAAGAGAGGCGGTGGCTCTAGCCTCTGGCAGGTGAGCCCCAAGGAAGGTGGTGGCTCCAGCCTCTGGCAGGTGAGCCCCAAGAGAGGCGGTGGCTCCAGCCTCTGGCAGGTGAGCCCCAAGAAAGGCAGTGGCTCCAGCTCTGGCAGGTGAGTCCCAAAAAAGGTGGTGGCTCCAGCCTCTGGCAGGTTGTAGGCCCATATTTCTATATGGTGTGGCAGCCAGGCTCTGAAGCCATAGGCCCCACCTGAGGTGGTCCTGTAGCCCCACAGACAGGCTGTCAGGGTCCTAAAAATGGGTCGGGATGTTGTTTTGTTCCTTTCTTTGTAATTTAGAGGATGCCTGATAGAAATGCTGATTCAAGCCTCCTGACAGCTAGTTTACAGAGCAGACAGGCAGGAGACAAGAAGCCGGTCACCTGGTTACCTAGGAGACAGAATGCTAAAGTATTTCCCCGAAGTTAAGTTTTGGTATAAAGGCTGTAGAATAAATAGGAATAATTTTTCAGGATGTGAACTCAGGACTTCAGGAGGGACCATTGAGAATCTCCCTCCCGAAAAAGCCATATAAATTGTGGCCGGGCGGTGGTGGCTCATGCCTTTAATCCCAGCACTCGGGAGGCAGAGGCTGGCGGATCTCTGTGAGTTTGAGGCCATCCTGGTCTACAAGAGCTAGTTCCAGGGCAGGCTCCAAAAGCTACAGAGAAACATGCTGGTCCAGGGAGAGATAGTTTATGTTGGGGTATGGTCAAGAGAAATAATTGAGGGTCCAGGCTAGCATCGGACCCCGACACAGGTGAGCCCCAAGGAAGGTGGTGGCTCCAGCCTCTGGCAGGTGAGCCCTGAGAGGGGGTGGCTCCAGGTCTGCCTGCTTGAAACTAATTCTTCTCACCCTCTATTTTGTCTTCTTTTTTATTTTTATTTCAGTTTTGCATTTAAATTTTATGTATATGTCTGTGTCCAAACGTGGGTTTGTGCAGGCATCCACAGAGCCCACAGAGGGCATGGGATCCCTGGAGCTGGAGTTGCAGGTCACCGACGTGGGTGAGTTCCCAAGCGTGGGCTGTGCAAGAGCGGTTTCACCTGTCAGCCACTGAGCCATCTCTCCGGCCCCACCCTCTTTTTCGTCCCTTCTAATCTCCCCGTAGCCCTGTGGGGTAAAAGGTATCACCCCATTTTGCAGCTGAGTAGACAGGGGAGTCAAAATGGGGGAGGAGGAACTTCCCAAGGTCGTGACAGAAAGTCCAGATCTCTTGATCCAAGCCTGCTCCTCATCTGCTACCTAGGCCCCTCCCTCCCCACCCAAGTCAGTGAGACCTTCAGAATGGTCATACAGACAAGAGTGACCGAGGGAAGGGTCCTGTGGTTGGGGACAAGACAAGCCCTTCCGAGTAACACAAACCTTCAGCCCTGGACACAGCAGAGGAGGGGGATGATCTACTCAAGACAGACTGACTCTCTTTGGACACACTGCAGCTCTGGAAGGTTCTCCTAGCCTCTTCTCTACCCACTCAGGGAACTCCCTGAGACCACCCCATCACACACACTGGCCAAGGCTGGGGCATGTCTGTCTTCTCTTCTTCTGAAGCAAGGCCTCACTTATGTGGCTCCAATTGTCCTAGAACTCACTGTGGAGCCAGCCTGGCCTCGGACTTCCAGAGATTCACCTGCCTCTGCCTCCCAAGCACTGGACTAACCATACCCAGCCTGTCTTCCTTGGTTCAGTTCTACTCAGAGTCCTGAGTCTTTGCCACAGTCTTGCCTCCACAGACACCAGCTCTGGAACCACTATGTGTGTCCCCCAGCCCAGCCCAGTCCAGCCCAAGAGTACCGTGTTTGGCATCTGCATCTCAGGGTTGATGTAGCCCAGCACATTGTCCAGGCGCATAATGTTGTCAATGACATCATCAAACTAGAAGAGAGAAAAGTTCATTTGGGGATGACCTACCTGAAGAGCGGCAGCCATCCACCTACCCCAACACCACCTCACCCAACCTGCTCGTCTAGAAGAGGAAATGAACCAGAGAAAGGGCCTTTGGCTGAGCCTAAGGCTGGTTTAGGCTTGTCCCCAGGACCTATCCCTAGCCAGGGAGTTCTTGACACACCTATCCAGGGCTACGAGAGCACTAGGCTTTCCTCTGAGTCTGCCCTATCCCCTTACAAGAAGATGGCCACTCTCCTCAGAACAGGGCTCCCTGGAGGCAGGACTGTGTCTCCCTGAGACTGGAGCTCCCTGCAGACACAGCTCCACTTCTTCCACTAAAACCACTTTCCCAGAGCGCCACAGCTGACAGACACCAAGCAGGCAGCCCTCACTCACCTCCTTCTCAGGGTTGGAGCTGATGTGCAACATGGCCATGGGACTGTTGGGGGCACTGTTGCCCGCTGAGGTGGACAGTACGTGTCCAGCCCGCACCCCAGGGGATGCTGCTGGTGGGGGCTTCGGGGAGCCTTGGGCTGGGCTGATGTGGGCCGCAAACTTGTTCCCGTAGGTCTCTGACAGGTACTCCCGCACCTTCTGGTGCTGGGACTGCTGCAGGTGGTAGGAGGTGGGGTTCTCCAGGTAGGACTGCACCTGGGGAAGGGGAAGGCACAGCTGTAGAGGGGATGGGACTCATGGGGCAGGACAGAAATCAGTGGGGACAGAGGCCCTACCTTCAGCACCTCCCCAGGCACAGGTGGTGGCGACTGGAAGTGGACCGGAGTGTTGATGGCTGGGGTGGGTGGGCCTCCCAGCTGCGGCTGCTGCTGCTGTTGCTGCATGTAATGCATGACGGCCTGCTGCTGCATGCGCTCTCGCTGCTCCTCCTGCTGCGCCTGCTCCCGCATGAGCTGCATGCGCAGCCCGATGCGTGACGCCATGGCAGCTGCTGGTTCGGGCTCCCTGCAGTCGAGAGGAGACAGGTCCGTGAAGCAGTCATCCTCCTCCTCATAGTCTTTAAACGTGGGCTGGCACAAGTACGGTTGCTCCCACTGCACAGAAGGAGAAACTGAGTCCTGACAGAGGGGATTTGCCCAAGGCCACTGAGCAAGCTGAGCCATGAGCCCAAGTCCCCTGACTCCTAGACCAGAGTGACGGCAGGAGCCCACCTGTCGCCCCTCCGTCACGTCCCCGTCCCGAGGAGCATTTCATACCTGGCCTCAGCTCCATCCTCTCTCCTGCCCCTCCCTAGCCCAGCCCGTGCCACGCCTTCTCTGAGGGCCTGAGGAGCCTCCAGATGCTCGTGGCTCCTCCCCCACCATCTGCCAGAAGCTCCACCATGCTGCTAGTTCCTGTCTGCTCTCTGCTAGAACTCTCCCGTGGCTCCTGTTCACTCAGAGTAAAAGCCTAAGACGCGGCCGCAAAGGCCCTCTGAAATCTGCTGCCTTCATGGCCCCCCTTAGATCTCCCACCCCCACACGCTTCCCCCCCCTTGTTCTACCCACTCCATCCACACCCCCTAAGCTAGTCTTCAAACACCCCAGGCGTGTTTCCACCTCAGGGCCTTTGCACTTGCTGTCCCTCCACCTGGAACATTCTTTCTACAAATACCATCAAGGCTCACGTCTTAACCTCTTCCAAGACTCAAATGTCAGCTTACGGTGCCGTTAGGGACCACTGTGATAAAATGGCATTATCCCCTCCCCCTGCCTTGCCTCTCTGTATCAGATGCCACCATCTAGGACGGGGCATTTTTTGGCTTAAGTTTGTTATTGTATTTGCTGTCTGTCCCTTACTAGGAATGCAAGTCCCCTGAGGGCACACATTTCATCTGTTTACTGCTGCACCTTCGGCCTCTAGCCCCTGGTGTGGGAGGCAGACACCAATGGAGGAGGAGGGAGAGAATGAATGTGATCCGTAAGTCAGACACTGGACACGTAGTCCCCCAGCTCCTGGATCCCACAGTCTCAGCGAGAAAGGAGGGCTCCCAGGCAGGGCTAGTCCTGTGCAGAAGGGGCAGCTTCGGGCTCCTCACTGTTCGGAGCTCAGAGCTTGACCCACTGTGGGGAAGGGTGACTGAGGCCCCCAAACCTAGGCTGGGAGGTGGAAGGGTGAAACCCAATGAGCCCCCAAACTGGGCCTGCACTCTTTCTAGGCCACTAGGTGACTGGGCAAGTCTCTTCCTCTCACTGGGCCACAAATAAAAGAGCAGAACCCAGTGACTTCTCAAGGACAGTCCAGACTGAAAGGCACAGGACTTGGGGTACCTGAGTCCCTGAGAGGACAGTCAGGGAGAGGAGGGATTTGGCAAGAGAGAGGGCTTTCCCATGAGCAGGTGGACACAGAGCCCGGGTTCTCACTTTGTTGTGTGACTTTGGGCAAGCTCCTTAACCTCCTAAAGCCTCACTCAGTTTCCTCCTCTGTAAACAGCATCTTCCTCTCTGCCCACTAAAAGTGGGGTGGCTTGCCCACTGCCTGGCAGTCTGCGGGTGCGCAATCGGCACAGTCTAAACAGGGTTTTCAAACTGGGATCTAAGGCCTCCGTCAGCAATGCTGGGAAGTCCTTGCTCAACCACAAACCATGGTCTTCTCATGAAGAAGGGAAACAAAGGCACCGGGCAGTGAGACACAGCTAGGACACACCCCAGATTCTGGGGAGCTGGGGCAGAAGTGGAGCTCAGGTCACAGGTGCCCAACCAGGCCTCCATCCACTATCTCCCGCAGCTCCCTAGTGGAGTGAGGATACCTCCCATCCTGTCTGTCCTGTAGCACACAGCAGCCTTCCCCCCATCTTCCATTCACTGCCCAGCGAAGGCCTGAGTAGCCCACGTCGGCAGGGCAGCCCCCAACCAACCCAGGCCCTGACTCTCCACCCTCCCCCATTCCGTAGCAGCTCCCAGCTGCAGTCCCCACTGCCTCCCACCAGCTCTTACAGAGGGGTGTCCCTGTCTTCACATCACAGCCTGTTAGCCACACTGCCAACAGACCCCTGGCTCTGACCAGATGCAGCCCCGCACATCCACTAGGCAGCCAGCAACCTCCCCTCCATGGACAATTCGACTTTAGATGGCCAGTGGGGGCCAAAGGGCCTGGCCGTGCCAGCCGGCTCAGGGAGGGCTAGGGAGAAGGAGTCCCTTGTTTCCCTGACAAAGAGTTGGCCTGGCTACCTCAAGGACTGTGCTAGACCCAATAGGCCATGCTCTGGCTGCATTAGCCTCAGCTCTCTGTCTGTGAAATGGGCGTGGAATTCAACCCCCTCCCCAGCCTCCGGACAGATGAGTGAAAAGAGAGTCTAGCTAAGGAGGGGTGGGTACCAGTGACTTCTGAGGGAGGAAGCAGGCAGAAAACACTTTCCCATTCCTAGCACCTCCAGGACAGAGCTACTGTACCCCATATTCCTGATGGCCAAACTAGCCTCCCTGGCTGAGCTTGGGAGAATGAATGGTAAGGACCAAGAGCTTATGGGTACTGGGGAGGAGAGACCCTATATGCTGATCAGCCTCAGTGGGGGCTAGCCAGGATGAACCAGGAGACAGGGACAGTCCAAATGTTTGTGTCCCTCCCTTCCTGTCCCTCAAAGCCTGGAAAGGGTCCCCTGTGCAAGCCCAGGAACATGGGATCCACAGGACCTACTATGGACAGATAACACCACCTCCTAAGGGGAGGGGTCAGTGGCCCCAGAAAGTCCCTGCCTCTCCCCGTGGCACTGCCAACCCCATCTGTGCACAAGGACCCACTGGGTACTTCCAGCTGTCATTTGCCCAGGTCCTCGGCTGACTGCCTCAGCCCAAAGCCGAGATGGCTTAGTCACTACCCGGTGAGCCCCGAGGCCCACAGACGGCCTTCACTGGCTGAGTGACCTGGGAAGTTATCAAAACCCTCTGTGACTCACTCTCTTGATCTCTGTAGAGCGAACCAATGCGCCAGGCACGGTGGCAGACACTTTCAATCCCTGTATTTAGGAGGCAGAGGCAGGCTGATCTCTGAGTTCAAGGCTAGCCTAGTCTACAGAGTTGAGTTCCTGTGAGATCCCCGGGAGATGCCGTGACAGCAGAGAACTCCCTGCAGCGGTCAGCAGCTAGGAGAGAGGGTCCCTGCCTCCTTTTCCGCTTCCACCCACACTAGTGTGTGAACTTCCCTAACCATACATCTAAGTGTTGACAAGCTGGGAGAGCTTTTCCTAAGGAGACGGGTGGGAGTCAGGTTGGGAGGACAGAGAAGTCAAGGGAAAGTCTTGTGTCCAGGAAAGAAGACAGCAAAGATACACCACGAAGTCTAAGAGCAGGAGGAGGGGAAAGAACTACAGAATAAAGTGGACAGCCTGATCCCTGTTAGGCGGGAGAAGGAGGCTGGTCCAGGAGAGGACTTCCCTTTAGACATCCACAGGAAGGAAGCAGAGGCGCGGAGACAGAATGGCTTGGTCAGAGCCGCGGTCTCTAAGCAGCAGGAGGAAGAAGGTAGCCGCTCCCACCTTTACTTGTAACATACTCTTCTGGACTCCCTGGCACCTGAAACTCTTCCAAGTGGTCACCTCTGGGGAAGGGTGGTTCCCCCCACTTAGGAGGCATGTACCCTCCCGTGTGACTCGTGCGAGGCCGGCTGGCTTCTACAGGCCTATGGGAGGGAGCCCCATTTGATCCTGATCATGTCTGAACGCATCTCTGAAAAGCAGTGCCCCCACCCCCAAGGTCACTCGCCAGGCCCGAACTCTGCCCTTCTCAGAACAAGTGGGGGCCCTGAGTGGCAGAGGCACTGATGTGTCCCAGGCTGTTCTTGAACTCGCCATGTAACTTCTGACACTTCTACTTCCTCGTCCCAAACGATACCATTCCAGCTGTGCACACTACCACATCTGGCCTAGTGCGCTGCCGGACATCCACTTCAGGGCTCCCTGTGTGCTAAGCACGCTCCACCAAATGAACTGCCTCTCAACGTGGTGCTGGGAGAAACGTTCAAGGGCTACAAACTCCTGACCCTCCCGCCCCAGTCTCCCACGTGCTGGGAGGTGTTTGTCACCCATACCCGGCTTCTTGGGAATTTGTCTGCCTTGTTGGTAGAACCTTTAAAAACTGGACCACTGGGCCTGGAGATGTAGCTGAGTTGGTAGAGGCGTCCCTAGCACACAACCCCCTGGGTTGGGTCCCCAGCACTGCGTGAACTGGTTACGGTAGGTGGTACCTGCCTGTGACCGCAGCACACAGAGGTGGGGTGAGGGACAGAGAAGTTTAAGGTCATCTTTGGCTACATAGAGAATCTGAATCTAACACATGAGACCTTGTCTCAATAAATAATAAATAATAAACAAACAAATAAAATAAAAGTTGTATCTCAAAGCCGAAATCCATGGCAGAGGCAGGCAGATCTCTATGAATTTGAGGCCAGCCTGGTCTACACAGCAAGCCCCCGGCCAGGTTCCCCTCCCCGCTGACAAAAAGCTGTGCGTGGTCATTCAACACCGACCCCACACTCCACTGCCGCGGGCCTCACTGACGTGTCGCAATAGAGGCCAGACTCAGAAAATCCCTGGAGCCAGGCTGGGTGTGGTGGCGCATACCTTTGATCCCAGCACTCAGAAGGCAGAGGCAGAGACAGACTGGCAGATCTCTGTGAGTTCAAGCCCAGCCTGGTCTACATAGGCAGTTCCAAGACAGTCAGGGCTACGAAGAGAGACCCTGCCTCAAAAAACCACCACCAATAACAACAACAATAAAAATGTACGAAGTTCCATCTACAAATATAAAGTTCAAAAGCAGGCACAAAGCATCTACTGTGTGAGAAGTCAAGCTGCAGTTAGCCTTGGGGGACTGCCTGGGAGGGAGAAAGGGCCACTCTGCAGGAGGGGACCAGGAATGGTCTGCGAGGCTGCAGGTGTTGGTGACACAGGCTGACTTGTTTATGAGCACTGGTCCAGCTGCTCACTCCTAATTGTTTTCATTTTCTGGAGTTCGCTGAGGGAGGGAGGC